TAATAAGTGTGTGTATTTTGTACATTTAAAATTAAGTTAGAAATTTCGAATTCCCTCACTCAAAATTTTACTTAAAAAGAAATTAAATAGTATTTGTTGGAATTTAAGTAATTAGTAAAATTGACTTCAAGACGTGTATTTTAATAAATACTATTTTTAAGACTTATTTCATCTTTATTACAAATAGCCTTATAGATATATTGAAATTAATGTTTAATTTCGTCTTGCATTTTATCAGAGTAGATAGTTTGATATACTTGAAAGTTTGCAAAATTGTTTGGCTGAGTTTACTTTTTGCAACAAATAGATTATAAGAAATTTAGACTCTTTGGATAGGTAATGAAAACTTAGGTGTTTATGTTTATATTTTGAACAAAACACTTTTAATGCTTTTAATTTTTTTATTTGTTTTGATGTGTCAAAATGGTTGACAGTAAGTGTTTTACATAGACTTGCAAATATCTCTTTTAAAGGTACAACCCTTTCATCAAGTACTTTTTATGTCTTAAAAACACTCTTGCATGTTGTAAGATATAATCCTTGGATAAAGATATAATTTTAATAATTACCTTATAAAAGGATGACCCTTATATAATTTTTGAGTTATAATATAAAAAGATAACTTTTCATATCCAAAATTTTAAGTTATTGTATTTTTCCAACATGTTATTTTGGCAAAAGATATAACTATTAACATGAGAAATCATCTACAATCTAATAGTTACATTATATCTTGTTATGTGACATATCCTTTTTCTTGGAAATGGTTTCAAATAATCACAACTTTTTTATATAAAATCAAGTTGCCTATTGTCCATAAGCAGAAAGATTGAAACATACATAGTAAAGGAAATTGTGAGAAATAACCCTTTTCATAAAGTAATCTCAAAAATAGCCTACCTTATAAAGTTAATTGTTTTTACCAATTTTGGCATGAGTAGACAAAAAAGCCTTGAATATATTACTGACAAATTAATTTCTCGATATCTGCCTTTCGTGATAGAGAAAAATAAATGCTCAGTTATCTCAGCTTTCTTAACTTTCTCTACTCTCTGAGCTTTGTCAACTCTCACAGCTCTATCAACTTTATCTTGCTAGCCAGCTATCTATTGAGCACCACTGTCATCATGCTATGGTCTATCTCTCGGCATTTGGCCATAACGTCATCGATATACAGACCCTAAAGCAAAGATGACATATAGGTATGTCGTTGGGTTTATTGTTGCAACTCATTAATTTTTGAAATTTTGTGTGTAAATTAGAACATTGCTTAAAGTTATTACATGGCATGTATGTAAAAAATATATTCAAATTACATATTTTAATACATGGCTTGTAGTAAAATTTGTTTGTACATGAGGTGTAGTAAACATGGCATGTAGCAAAATCATTAGAACATTGCCTAGAGTTGTTACATGCCATGCATCTAATATCTCTAATGCACATGGCATGCACATATATATTGAAATAATATGTTTTAGTGCATATCGTGTAATATTTTTTTTTAAACACGGTGTGTAATAATTTTTTTGAACACAGTGTGTAACAAAATTTTTTTAAAATGGGGTGTAAAAACATGGTTTCAATAAGGCATGTAGCAAAATTTTATAACAGGGCATGTAATGTGTAAATTGACTGACATTTTTTTTAAAAAAATTTAGTGACATGCTAATTGTGCAATGGCATTTACAAGGGCGGTGAGTCATGAATGAATAGGGTTAAAAGTGATTTGTCATTTGCAGGCTTGATGAAACTGGTTGAAGATGTTGTTGGGGTAAACTCACAAATTCACAAGATTGAGTTACATACATTGATTAGTACACCCGAAGAGCTATCACACCTAATTATCAAAGACGAGGAGAATGTTGCATTAATTTTGCTAGAGTAGAGGAATGTTCTAGCAGTGTGCATCACCATTAAGAAACGCCATACAAATGTTATGCCATATGAAGAAGCTGTACAACATGTTAATCACCTCAATCAAAATGAGATTCACAATGTTGCACGTATTCCACAGCATTTAGTCCTCAACCCATAACAATGGCAATTGACATATGCATATGAGTTTGTGTAGCCCAGTAGACACATGGCATTCACAGAACAGTTGGCTGCACAATTTTAATCAGTATGTGCGTCGAATCAATTATTTGCTTTTGCTCAACTAATGCAACCATTGGGTGAAACTATAGAGGATGTAATGCTATTTTCAAATGAGACTACAACAATTAAGGGTGACACTGCGATGTTGGAAGATGACTTTGTGACACTGAAGGATGACACTACGATACTTGAGGATAATACTGCATTTGATTAGGCAAATGAGGATTTATTCCTCACCTCTTAAAATGTTAATACAACCATAAAGCATATAAGAAAAAATATTATAGTTCTCTCCATAATTTAGGCAAAAATCATAAAATCATGAAGAAAATAGTAAAAACATATTATAGGTGAAAACTCAAGCATTTCATAGAGCAACCCAACAAAAAAACATAAAAAAAGAGAAAATTTTAACTGACTATTGACTGACCTCTGCACGCAGAACTGACATTGTTGCTGTGAAGTCATGAACTTTGCTCAAAATGAAGTTGAACACTTTGATCCTTTTAGGAATGATGAATGAATCAAACTCTCTCACTTGGCATAGTCATTTGCAAATGATGAAAATAAAATGCTATGGTGTTTTAAACACTTTAATTGCTAATATGCATGTTGTGGAATTTCAAACGGTTTCCTTATTTGTTCATATTTTTTTCCATTTAAATTTATGTCGTTTCACATATTCCATCTATGGTGTGTCAGATATTCCGTCCATGTCTTCTCATATATTCCTTCCATGTCATTTCACATATTCTCACCATGCCATGTCACATATTTCGTATATGGCGTGTCATATATTCCCTCCATGGCATGGCACATATTCTCACCATGTCATCTCACATATTCCCCTATGGCATCTCACATATTCTCACCATGGCATGTCACATATTCTCACCATGTCGTCTTATATATTCCATCTATGGCGTATCATATATTCTGGCCCTTCCGTATCACATATTCTCATCATGTTGTCTTACATATTCTTTCCATATTATGTCACATATTCTCACCATGGTGTGTCATATATTCTCAACATGCCATGTAACATATTCCTTTCATGTCGTCTCACATATTCTCACTATGGCATGTTACATATTCCTTCCATGGCATGTCACATATTCATTTCATGGCGTGTCATATTCCCTCCATGGCATGTCACATATACTCACCTTAACGTGTCACATATTCTCACCATGTTGTCTCATATATTCCTTTCATGGCGTTTCACATATTCTCACCATGTCGTCTTACATATTCTCATCATGCTGTGTCACATATTCTCTCCATGGCATGTCGCATATTCTCATCCTATCGTGTCACATATTCCCTCTATAGCGTGTCATATATTCTCACCATGCTGTCTTTCATATTCTGACCATGTTGTGTCACATATTCTCAACGTGTCGTGTCATATATTCCTTTCATGTCATGTCATATATTCTCATCATGGCGTGTCATATATTCCCTCTAGAGCGTGTTACATATTCCTTCCATCTTGTGTTACATATTCCCTTTAGAGCGTGTTACATATTCCTTCCATCTTGTGTTACATATTCCCTTCATAGTGTATCATATATTCTCAACATGCCGTGCACATATTCCTTCTATGTCGTCTCACATATTCTCACCATGGCGTGTTACGCATTCCCTCCATAATGTGTCACATATTTTCAATATATTGTATCATATATTCTCTCCTTATCATCTCGCATATTTTCACCATGCCGTGTCAAATATAGTTCTTACATTTCATGTGTAACAAATGACAAATGGCCTGCTGAAGCATGACCAGTTCATACTTTGGTTTCACATCTTCCTTTTTTGGTGCACCATAGGAATAGGGATTTCTAGTTTCACATCATTTTCGACTCTTTGGATTCATCGTCAACCGGTTCCTCCTTTGGTTTAACATTAACCTTCTTGTACTATCTGAAATCCATTTTCAACATAATACAATAATGCACATGTGAGCTACACTCAATGAACAGTAATCCCAAAAAAGATATACGACATTTACAAAAGAATAATTATTTAAATACACGTCATGCCTATATGTTTTTACTTGCTACACATCAAGTTTAATGACTTATTTTTTACAAGCCATGAATAAAATAACCACGTTATTACACGTTATGCCATGCTCGTTTTCTCTCCATATTCTAACAAGATTCAACCCAAATGGCCATGAGGGTTTCTACAGCTTCAAACTATATCCAACAACCATTGAAAAACAAAACACTAAGCTACATTCTCAATCAATATGGTATTCAAATCACCAAACCCACCACAAAAAAAATCGACATTCACTCATTGACTTTTTGTGTAATAATTGTAAACTTGTTCAAACACTTTCTTATCCCTGACATGAGGATGTTTTGCATAATCTTTAAAAAAGAAAACGATATTTTGCACAAAATTAAAGGGAATAAATTCTAGGTAAATTTATTTTCACTAATATACGTGTGAATGAGAGTGTGTGTCAATGAATAGGTCTCATCAAGGACATTTTTGTTACAAAATCTCATCTCTTGACTAAAAACAATTAAAATTATGAAAAGAGCTATTTTTAAAAATACTTTATATTTGAGGGCTAAAAAAAAATTTTACCGTATGTAGTCTATTTGGACAAAAAAATTTAATTTCTTGTGAAGGAGTAGATTTGACCAGATACGGTCAAACATATATTTCCTTAAGACAAACAGTCGAACGGCTCTAATTGGTAATGATGGATTACATACCAAAATGGAGAGATTTGGCTCCTTCTAAGCTTTGCCATGAAATCCATTGTCTGGGCATAAAAGGGGGACTGAGTCCGTGATTTAAAGTCTGTTCACTTTCATTCTCTCAGTACTGTGGTTCCCTCCCTAGGTAAAAAAACAAAAAATCTTAGTGCGAAGGAAATGGCAAAGGAAAGAGGCAGTGCAATTATTGCCATGGCACTACTGCTGTGTTTCTTGCTTCATTCGGAGACAACCCATGCAGCCACCTTCAAGGTTGGAGACGATGATGGCTGGAGGTTTGGTGTAAGTGATTGGCCCAACGGAAAAAGCTTCAAGGCCGGTGATATCCTGGGTAAGTATAACTACTGTCTTTAAGATGTCTTTCAATATATGTTCAACTCTACGTTAACAGATATGCCAAATTGTTTGCAGAGTTTGTTTACAGTCGGGCGAACCACAACGTTGCAGTGGTAGATAAGGATGGTCATGACTCATGCACAGTCTCAGACAACGCCGCAGTTTTTCAGACGGGAGATGACAAAATCACACTTGCAAAAGGAGAAAACTACTTCATCTGCGGCTTCCCTGGCCACTGCGCTAGTGGAATGAGCCTTTCCATTACTGCTGCCTGATGGGGTTGGGGAGGGATTCATTAGAATAAAAAAGATTTTTCCTTGTACTTTGTTGTTCCCAACAAGAATTAATAATATTTGCTTCTCTTTTCGTGCTATTATTTTACTCCACCATAGTTCCATCAAAAGTTACAAGCAATACGAGAAAGAACATCATTAATGTAATATACTAACAAGTTGTGGACACTTTTCGTCCCCATGATTATTGCAATCTTTACCTAAACCATTTTCTTGTGAGGACGAGAAGATATTGTATTCATTTTGATTGATCTAATATCTGATTTATAATTCCTTAGCCCAAATAGCGAATCGGCCATATCTCAAATTGACAACCGTTCATAATACCCCAAGGCTTGCAAAAGCGAGACACAAGAGGATATTGCAAGGGATATCTTTTAAAGTATCTTACCCGATTATATAGAATTACTTTATATTTGGATTTGGGATGGATTCCGATGATAAGTTTAGTATCCGTTTCGAGTTCGAGTAGGGTATGGGTATCATCCATTAGATACCAAATATCCGAATTCAATTATTGATGTTTATTATGAATGTTTATATATTTATTTTTAATTAGTTAAGTTTTTGTTTGAAATATTTTTTAAATGATTAATTGTTTAAATTTTACTTTAATGTTTGTTTGTTTTTATAAATATAATTATTAGTAAACTGTATGATGTGAATAGTAAAATATAATCATTATCTTATTTGGGTTTGAGTAATTGGACTTATAAAGAAAGTGAATAAATTTTTTTTTTACACAATTGGATATTTAAACTGGTTTAGATAGTTAATGGGTAGTGCGTGTGGCATTAAGATTAGAGTTTGGATAAAAAATTTAAAAAATAATCAGGTAGTTATAGAGTTCATGTGTGCTAATTATTAATAGGGTTCTTCCAAAACAACCCTAAAGAAAAATTAAGTATATTATATTAGCTTTCTTTAAATCCTACAAAGGAAGTGACTCTTAAAACTTGAAGTTCTCAAACCTTTTTCTCATTTGCTTTAATTACCTTATATCGCTAAGTCTTTTCTAACACCTTAACCTCGGTCCAACCCTACCTTATTTATTTTTCTTATGCGATGCTTAAAGTTATGAAGTATCACTAATTAAATTAAGAACGATACCCCTCTTAGCATTCTTCAGTCCTAACAAACTTGAACTCACGAAATTGAGAATCACATGAAGGCTTCAACCCTCAAGCTTGCTAATAAGTAAATTTAGACCAACTTAGTCCTAACAATTTGAGAAATTCAATCAAGATAAAGCTTTGGTTCTCAAGCATAACAATCCTACCAATTTGTGTTTACCTCATACTTGGAAATATATATGTTATTGGTTAAAACGTAAGAATACAACATTATTTAGCTAGGCCAACCATAGTTCTATTCTTTAAAGCCTCCTTTAAGGTTTTCCCAACCTTGCACGCTTTCAAATCTTGAATCCTTATAAAATTGATATGCTTTGTGATCCTAGATCTTTTTAACCTTACATGCTTGGTAATCCTGCTGAAACCTTTTAACCTTACCATTCTTGAAACTTTTTAACCTTACATATATGCTTGTCAATCCTACCTTGATATCTTTTCCAATATTTAACACTTTTAACCTTACCGACCATCAAACCTTTTAACCTTACGTTTCCCAAATCTTGAAGCATTTTAACCTTACCAATAATGGAATCTTTTAACCTTTCTTATGTTTCTCGATCCTAAAGACTTTTAAGCTTTTCAATCTTGAAACCTTTTAACCTTTCACACTTCTCAATTCTGAAGCCTTTTTGCCTTACCCATCTTGAAGCTTTTTCAACTTTACAAATCCTGAAAGTTTTTACCCTTATCAATCCTGAAACCTTTTAATCTTGCAAATTTTGAAACCTTTGAACCTAACCAATCCTGAAACCTTTTAACCTTACACATCCTGAAGCCTTTTAACATTACATGTTTCTCAATCTTGAAATCTTATAACCTTACCAAATAATTTTATTTCTCATTAGATTAAAACTTAGCCAATAACTACACTTGGTTAAAATAATATTGGATTCTAGAATAAGTTTTCCCCACCATTCATGTAATATTTTTCACTGGCAATACAACTGTCAGTGAGTAAGAGCTTTGAGCTAGTGCATTTGACATTCACCAGATCCTTACAGGAGTTTTGTGCACTGAGCTTCTCTTTCTTCAAATTGGTTGAAGGACAACTTTCGACCCAAATCAAGATTTAGCATAGCAGCAGCAGTTACAAATATACTGCAACAAGAAATGGGAAACAGAAGGGGAAAAGCGGCTGCCATATCCAAGAGATAAGGTGTGCACGAGTACAAATAAGTTCAGTTCTCGTGCATATATGTAGTATCTTACAAACCTCCTATGCAGTTTTTGCCAGAATTATGAATCTTAGTATGACAATGATAGCATATATAATAAAGATAGAAGCGAGACAACTTGCAAAATGTATAAACAAGCAGATAGTTGCTAGAATTTATGAAACAAATTCTCAGTGAAATTGAACAACCTCCAACGCCAATAAGGATTGATGTAGAGAACAGTCAGAAAAGCCAATAGGAACACGACATACGTTGAGGTAAAGCTTGCGTAGAAGACAACAGAATCAATGTCATACCATTTTCCATCAGTTTCATTTGATGATGCAGGCGAGTGCGATATCTCAAAGATCGTGTTGCAATTTTTCTCTAATGGTGGCCCACAGAGAAATGGATTTCCTTCGTATCCGCTCCTCCCAAACGTTCCAAATTGTGCTTTCATATCTGGAACTCTACCAGATAAATTATTGTATTGCACACTGAAAACTTCCAGGAAATTTAAATTGATCAACTCTGTAGGGATTTCTCCACTCAAATTATTGTATGAAAGGTCCAAACTTTCAATCTGAGATAGCTCTGACAAAGAAATTGGAATGGATCCTGTTAAATGATTGTGGGACAAGTTTAGTGCATGAATCTGGGACAATTTTCCAAGCTTTTCAGGTATTCTACCTGTCAACATGTTGCATGACAAGTCAAGTCCAGACATGAAATTTAGAATGTCACCCTTGTAACGATTGAGCATATTTTTGGTGATAAAATCAATTTCGACCGGTCCTTCTGGTAGCAAATCACCTGCAAAAGGAACCATTTGCCTTAGCGGATCTTTATCCATTGATTCCATAGAAGGATCATCCCGAAGTGTAACATTTTTTGCAAAGCGCAGATCAACATGCCCTGGGATTCCAAAGGTGATATTACTCAAACACATGGGTATTGATCCAGACAAAGAATTGCTGGAAAGATCAAGTATACTCATATTCCTCAATTCACACAGCTTCTCCGGTATTATACCATCGAAGTGATTTTTTCCTAACAAGAGAATTCTCAGATTGGGGAGTGCACCAATCAAATCAAGAATTCTACCAGACAAGTGATTATCTCTGAGGTTCAATAGCAAAAGAGATGAGGAATTGAGAAGAGTATTTGGTATAGAACCCATGAATTGGTTCCCTTGCAAATGAACTTGTTTTATAATCTCCATATCAAAGCAAGAAGGTAATTGTCCTGAAAGAAAGTTATGAGAAAGGTCCAAGTATTCAACATATAAGAGTTGTTCACATGGAAAGTGGCCTTCAAAATAATTATTTCTCATTGCAAGTGCCGAAATACCCTCTAGTATCCAACTTGGAATCTGACCAGTCATTTTGTTATTACTAACATCCAAAATCTTTAAGTTATTGAATTTCACATTTGATAGACTACCAGTGAACCGGTTATCCCTCAACTCCAGATCTCCTATATCACTCAAGTTGAAGTGAGAAGAAAATATTTCACCATGAAATTCATTAGTCGATAACCTTAAAATTTGCAAGTTGGTGCAACTTGCAACCAATTCCTGTGGTACTTCTCCCGAGAATTTATTGAAGGACAAATCCAATCTCTCCAACTTTTTCATGTAGCCAACTGAGGATGGGAGATCACCTTCAAAATAATTTTTGGATAAATTAAGATGCCTTAGATTTGGAAGTATCTTCCCAAAATTTTTCTGAAGCTGCCCTTCAAGATGATTGTCTGAGACATCCACCTGGACAATTTTCCTCAAAAGATATGGTGGCAGATGAAATTGACCGGCAAAAGAGTTATTCCTTAGTTGTAGCCACTCTAATTCACCATTGTTTTGAAGTAACCAGACAGGGAATGTTCCATTCAGCTTATTGTGAGAGAGATCAACAACTCTTAGTCGATGTTGGTAAAGGAGAAAATGAGGAATATTGTCCAAATTACAATTAGAAAGTACCAGTGACTCTAGTTGAAACAACGGATTCCAACCTAGACTTTCAGCCTTTATCTTCATTTTACTGTTGTCACTGATAAACTTAACAACCTTGAGCCCAGTAAGATTTCTGATGGAGCTGAGTGAGAATGAACCTTCAAATCGGTTATGACTAAAATCAAGGTACTCCAGGGATAGCAGGCTTGGTATCAAGTGAGAGGAAAAAGTCCCCGTGAATTGATTCCTCGAGAGATCTAAGTGTGTAAGAGACTTTAAATTGTCTAGGCATGGAGGGAGGATCCCTTCAAAATTATTCCAGCTAAGATCCAACTCTTGAAGTCTCCTCAATTCACATAGGCCTAACAAAAGAAGGTAATTGGTAATCTCAACCATTCTACCATAGTTAGAAAAGTTCACCTTAAGCATTTAACTTCAACTCTTACCTGGACCTGGCAAAAAGCCATTCAAGGCATTCCTTGACAAAGATAATGCCTTGAGAGAAGACAGAGCCTCAATAGATGGAGGAATGCTCCCACTATACAGATTCCACCTCAAATCTAATACCCTTAGTCTTCCAAAAGTCATTAATTCTACCAAAAGATAGGTAAAGATGCCTAGTGTCAGGAGTAGGAGACATACCAAAAGCAATAGTAAAAAAACTCTCGGGATTAAAGAGGAAGGATTTTGTTTACCTTGAATTGGTAAGGTTCCGTTTAAGGAATTGAAACCCAATCGAAGCACCTCCACATTGCTTAGATTAGCTAGTTCTGCATTGAAGCATGTTTGAAATAAAGAAATAAGTAAAGAAAATAATAAGAATCATATATATGCACATGCATCTCAAGAGTACACCTCACGTGTAGAGCATGTGACTAATTAATTAATTAAGTTTTATTTTAAGCAAACTATTTAAGCTTTTTTAAATAGTATTTAATCCGTTTTTTAGCATGTATATATAATTAATAGTCTTGTAACACTTGCAACTGATTGAGTGCATATAGTTTCATTTCCTTGACAAAGCCTACATGGTATCAAAGCTAAGATTGTTAACTTTTTTTATTTCTTTCTTTCTTGAATTCTTGTTTTCACACCCTTTAATCTAAATTCAGGTTTTACTAAAATTCTCCACCAACCAACCATTGTTAGCCGTCACCCAAAAAAAACCATCTCATGATTTCAATTTTGACATCAACTTCTACTAATTTTAACCTTAAAAAAAAAACTTTTTATCAATTTTGATTTTTCAATGGAGAAATATGAAATTTTGAAGCCAATTGCAACTGTTGTAGAAGGAAATTACAATCTATGGGTCCAAGGCATAAAAAGTTTTTTAATTAGATGTAAACTTTAACGCATTGTCACTTGAGACATTATCCAACCTACACAAAGAGCTGATGAGATTGTTGTTAAGTTTGTAGAATGGCTTGAAGATTGGGCTAGTAAAAATCAAGTCATAACTTGGTTTTATAACATCCCTATTCTAACCAATCATGTGCAATTTGCTAATTTTGACATGAAAGAGGAAATTTGAGATTTTCTTAAAGCCATTTTAGACAAATTAAACCATTTATCGTAATTTTCTCCCCCGATTTCTCTCTCTCATCATCCAATTCTTTCTAATTTTATCGATTTTTTTCTCCTGCATCCGTTTGTTGTGCTCTTCATTTCTCTTTCCTGTTGTCTAGCTCTCTTTAATTTTACCTCCATTGCCACCTCTCTCTATTTGTTTCTCACCATATTGTCATCAATTTATAAAACAAAGAGTAGAGATGAGATTAATGTCTGTTCTTAGGTTTATTGGCTTACATTTATAGAATCTCAAAGTTGATGAATTGAAGTTATAAATAAAATCTGTAAATTAAAATATTGCCCAGAGTTATTAAACGCCATGCCTGCATGTAACAACTCTAATGTACTTGACGTGTAACAAATTTATTAAATATGACAAGGTTTAAATATGGCATGCAACTTAATATCTATCTTTGTATTTTACTAAGATATAAACTCTTGAAATTAAACACCTTAAACATGGCATGTAACAACATGACATGAAACTTGCTTTCTATCTTTATATTTTACTAAAATATAAACTCTTTGAGTTAAATACCTTAAACATAGTATGTAACAATTTTTTTTCAATATGGCATGTAACAACTTTTTTTGAATCTGACATGTAATAATAATATTTTTTAAATAAAACGCGTAACTTGATCTCTATCTTTGTATTTCACTAAGAATTGAACTCTTGGTATTAAACACCTTAAACATGGCGTGTGACAACTATTTTTTTCAACATAGTGTGTAACAACTTTTTTTTGCAACATGGTGTATAACTAGGTCTCTATCTTTATATTTCACTAGGACATAAACTCTTGGAATTAAATACATTAATTATAGTGTGTAATAACTTTTTTTTCAACATGACGTGTAAGAATGTTTTTTTAAACATAACATGTAACAATCTTTGTATTTCATTAGGAAATAAACTCTAAGAGTTAAACACCTTAAACATGACATGTAGCAATTTTTTTTCAACATGACGTATACCAATTTTTTTTTCAACATGTGCGCTTGAATATGAAGAAATTTCATTAAAAGCAATTTTATCCAAAAATCTTTTTTTTGTCTAAAAATAGTTAAAATTAAAAAGAGGGTTATTTTGAAAAGACCTTATCTTTGAGGGCTAAAAAAAAAAATCCAAAATATTACATTCACTATAAGTGACATAGAGGCTCTACTAACGCAATTTATCTACTTCAATTCCTTTTTTCACACTACTCTCTCCGTTACTCCAAGTTATTCATCTTAGCTCAATGACTCTACCTACTATACTCACATGACTCCTAATTCATCTATTTTGTCTACTAAAAGATCCACTTCATCTACCTTTCTATCCATATTGCCAATGCTACAAAAATGAATACCACTCATATTGGCCATGTTTTTGACACACATTTTAGCCTTCTTGACATTTATTGTGTTCCTTAATTTAGTATTGAATCTTATTTCTATCGACTGATTATGTGATCTAAGCTTTACTATTCTCTTTTCTTCTTCTAGTTGTTAGCTACAAGATCTACAGACAAGAAAGATTCTTGAGACGGGTCGCAAGGTGTGCAGATTATATGAGCTTGTCTATTTTCATATTCCTATGAAACTTATGTCAGCTGCCACTATATCTAGTTCATCATTTTATTAACGGCATCTTCGTTTACGTCATGCTTCAACTAGTAACCTTCATTTTTTATTTTCTCATAAATTGATAAGATTTACAAAATATGAGCCTATTTGTTGTTTGCATTGTCAACTTGCTAGACAACTAGTTTTGCCTTTTAATAATAATACTTTTATTTTTTATTTCCTTTTGAACTTGATCACTTTGACATTTAGGACCCTTCTCCCATTTTTTTTGTGAATGATATTAAGTATTTTGTTAATTTTATTGATGATTATTCCGGTTTTACTTGGGTTTATTTTCTAAAACAAAGATTTCAATTATCCCAAATTTACATTAAGTTTGCTACCATGAAAAAAATTCAATTATCTCACACCATTAAAATTCTTTGAATTGATAATGCAATGGATATTAAGATTAGTTGCCAAAGGTTTCACGTAAAAAAAATGCATTGATTATTTTGATATTTATGTCTAATAGCAAGAATAGCATCCATAAGAACGCTTTTGGCTTTAGCATCTATTCATAAATTACATGTACATCAAATGGATATTAAAATTGCCTTCTTAAATGGAGATCTTAATAAAGATATATATATATATATATATATATATATGGTGCAACTTGAAGATTTTATACTTTCTAAAAACGAAAAGAAGGCTTCTAAACTAATCAAATCTCTTTATGGAATGAAATAAGCTCTAAAGTAATGACATAAAAAGTTTGATAGTACGATACTTTCAAACGGATTTATACATAATAATGCAGATATGTGCATATACTCTAAATTTACAAAAAACTATGTACAAAAGATTATGGTGTAATCATATATCTTTATATAGATGATTTATTGATCTTTGGTACAAATATGCTTGAAATTGTTGAAATCAATAAATATTTAACTTCAATTTTTAAAATGAAAGATCTCAAAAAAGTTGATACAATTTTGACAATTAAAGTCAAAAGAAATCAAAATGTGATTCATTGAGTCAATCACATTATATAGAGAAAATTCTTCACAAATATAGTCATTTGGAAATCAAAGAGTTTAATACTCATTATAATTCTAGTAAAAATAGACTAAGAATTGTGAAAGAGTTATGACACAATTGGAATATGCAAGTTTCATAGGACACATAATATATGTTGCACATTACAATAGATAGGATATAACCTTTGTCATTTGCAAACTTTCAAGATTTACAAGTAAACCTAATAAAGACCATTGGAAGACTATTACTAAGTACTTGGATATTTAAAGAAAACAAAAATTTTGAAAATTTGTTATAATGGTTTTCATAATACTTTAGAAGGATTTTCTAATATTAGTTGGATAACTAGTATTGATGACAATAAATCTAGATTATGATGGATTTTTACCTTATGAGGTGGTGTTATTAGTTAGGCATCTAAAAAGCAGACTTGTATTACGCATTTTACAATGAAATCTAAATTTTTAGCATTAATAGCTGTTGGAAAAGAAACGGAATTATTGAAAATTTTATTATTAGATATAAAATTGTGGCCACAATCGATGCCAGCCATTTCCATGTATTGTGATAGTAAGAATAGAATGGATGTAGCCTATAATAAGATTTATAATGGAAAGTCTAAACACATGCATAAGTCTGCAACATGTCTACATAAGAGAATTAATCTCAAATGGCGTTATAACAATAGTTTATGTTAAATCTTGCAAAAATTTGGTTGATTCACTTACCAAAGCTTTGGCAAGAGAAGCTAAAATATCAACTTCTAATGGAATAGAGCTAAAACCCTTGACTTAAAGACACTAGTAATGAAAACCTAACTTTGAGTTAGCTAAACTAACAATAAAAATTCAATGGGTAAAAACAAGTTACTATATGCTATTGTTATGCATGAAATTTTTTATATTAAATAGTCTCATTCTTGAATATTTAAATAGCATCATTCTAGAATATTCAGTGTGACTGTTACGAGGAAAGGATGAGTAAAAGGCTCTTAATAAAAATGTCAAATGCTTGTAGTAACAGGGGCATAATTATAAATTCCACCTAAATGAGTATTGGTGTAATGCTACTTCAAACAAAAGTTAAAAAGGGTTTACTCTTGTAAATATTCATGAAACCAAAATTAGCACAAAGCCATATAAGTGCTAAAGTAGTTGGCAGAATCTTAAAGCGATTAAGTAATGTTATGGGTGTGATATTTTTAGTTATAACATAAGGAGTTGGGGTTTAATCCTTGTGATATCAATAACTTCGTCTTAACTTTAAAATTTTTACACTAATAGAAAGTTCAAATCTTTAAGATACTTTCTACTAGACATAGTATTATTAATATTACAAACTAGTGGGAGATTATTAAATAATTTGTAATATAAAAAGTCTTATTCAAATGTGACTATTCAAATTAAGACATGACTCTTAAATAAAGAGAAGTGTTTTCAATCACAACTGTTGAAATACATCGATTAAATGTTCAGTGTTTTCAATAAACACATCTCTTGAAACTTAAGAAGACACGTCTGCTGAAACAAAATAGACACAACCTTTTAGTATTTATAAAAGGAATGTACTTCCAAACCAGACTTCATCATTCAAAAACATTCTGCAGTAGGCTTGTTATATCCTAGAGGGTCTTTGTCTCGTAATTGGTAACAACTCTTTAAAGAAAGTGTTTTACAGCAAGCCTTAAGCCTTTCTCCTTTTTTCTTATACTATATTTCTAATAGGATGTTAATACCTTCTTTGTGTCTAACCGTATTGTTGAACCCTAATTTTGTTTTGTAGACCAAAACCTATCATTTGCTATTAACTTATGAGAGTTTAGGATTTTATTAAAAAGAAGAAATTTAATTAGGTAGTCAATCACACCTAAACAAAAAAAAATAGTGTTGACTTCTTTGTTTGCCAGATAGTTGGGTTCTCATATTTGTATGTTGCAACATTAGTACTTGAAATAATATTAACGATTTATTTTTTTATGTAAATATATAGAAAATTGACTATATGAAATTCCCAAAATTGTTTTTATTTTATTATAGGATCCTTTAATATTCTTTGCAATCCCAAGTATCAAAGAAAAAAATTGAACTTCCAAAAATTAAAATGGGAGAAAAGGTTCATTTTGAATGAGAAATATTTACAATATTCACATATTGCTTAAAATTTTAAAAAATGTTTAGTGCACAAGCAGAGAAAAAGAGAGCACTTGGAGACCAAAGGATCGAAAATGGCTAGTCTCTAGTTTATATGAGGTCTTGTATTTCATTCTTTGATTCTTTTTTTCTCCATTTTTTCAAGAAAGTTTTTACTAGTTGATTATGAAAAGTAGGAAAATGTTTTAAGGATTATTTTCTCTTTCTTGGAGGAAAACATATAATTGTATTTTGTTTTTTTTTTTTAAAGTAAAATGGTAAACAAAGTTTCCTATTGGGTGCTAATCTTAATTATTTTTTTAACGAGACTTATATATTACAAATAAAAATTACAATCACAATCAAAAAATATTATATCAAATAACGCATTCATAGAAAGGAATCAGGTAATAGCCAAACAAAACTAATACAAAATTGGACTAAACGAAACAGGGTGTGACTTCATTTTAAGACATAAAAGAATTTCAAAGACTTGGATCCTTCGAAGGGAGACAAGGCCTCGTCTGTGAACTCTAACCTTAATCATAGTCATACGTTTTGCTTGGTAAAAAGAGTTAAGTTGGGGAGTAAAAGAGGGAAGCGTGGCATGCATAGAAGAATGGGGTATATATAACAAGGGGCAGAGGATTTCGATAGCACGTACCTTGGCGAGTGAGGCTACCTTTTAAAGAATTGTCACTCAGGTCAAGATACTTGAGGGACGGAAGTCTGGCCAAAAGCCCCATCACATGTTTACTGAAGAGGTTCATGCTCAGATCCAAGTATTTCCGCTTTCTCAGCTCAGGGAAGCTTTTGGGATCTGATGAATTATGAAGAACATTGATGGTCAACTCCAAAACAAAGCATGGAGGATCTAGCTTTAAAAGGTTATTCATAGTGGATAGAATACAAGTAGGATCAATTATGGATGGTCGAAATGGCCTTGCCCTGATTTTGCTAGCTTACCAGATAGTCCATTGAAACTTAAATCCAGTTCCTCTAAGTTTTCAAAAACAGACAATTCTGCACGCACAAACGAGTAGAACAACATCAATCATATTTAAGTTAGGTTGCAGATTCTAGCAAAGAGCAATAGTAGCATTCCAACAAACTCATGCGTGCCTTGGGAGGGGAACGATCCGATCAACAAATTGAAATGGATTATCAGATTCTTGAGGGATGTGAGTGTTCTCAAGGATTGCAGGATGCTACTGCTAAAATAGTTGCCAGCAAGATCCAACACCTCTAGCCGTTCTAGTCTTAACAAGCTTCCGACACCTACAACAAGATTATTGAAAATTTAACATACACAGACGACATTCTTTTAAAGCGTATATTATGAGGCTGACATACCTTGATTCTGGATCCAACCACCAATTTTATTGTAGGACAGATTAAGGCTTCTTAGCTCCTTAAAAGGCTGCAACAAGGAGATGTTAAAATACCATTCATTTTCAGAGTAATCGAACATGCTCTCAATATCCGTATCGATTTGCCTTGTATTGCTGAGGGAGAGCTCGATCACGTGTCCAGTGGAAGAGTTGCAGGTGACTCTGTCCCAATTACAACAGTTACTGTGTGTGTCACCAACCCACGACGGAAGCAGAAGATCTGCATCATAACCATCTGACTTAACGAATGCCTTCAATTCTAACAGCCCCTTCCTCTCCTCTTCCAGACAACCTTCCTGCCCTTGGAATTGAACCAAAAGGATCATACTCAACACCAAGAATTTGAGAAACTGCCTCCCCATTTTGCAATGCTGCTTACCTAGATCATCTCATCATACAAAACAATGTGTTGCTTCCGTATAGGACCATACCTTTTACCATCTATGGTCAAGACCCCGCCACGTGCCATGTAACAGTCGCAAATCCATCAGTGATTATTAAAGCCGGCGTGATATTTATCCATCTACATAAAATAGTGGTGACTGAGTTTTGGGTTCGTAGCATCAAAGACGTAGCAGAGCAGTTTGGGAAATCAAATCAACCGATCAAATTTTGTGCGATTAAGAATCGATGAGGAGGAATTAAAACAATTATACAAACCCTTCCCCTACGTCAACATTTACCACAATAGATTAAATCATACGCACAATCGTATTATAACAATCATAAGTTTGTTTGATATTCAAGGATTTAATGGTTACCTGTAACGAGTAATAGATAATTTTTTTTTTACAAGAATATGATTTAATTGCATAGAATCTTTTCTTAAAAGATTATAGGAAAGATTTTGGATTAAAGTCTTGTTTCAATTAATAAGAGGATATTGCAATTTAGATATTGACTTCAAGCCCATCGTCTATATAGTTTTATGCAAAAAAAATTTCCGTCATATATTACTTCGTTGATTTTTTTAATTGATCTTTTTAAAGATTATTAGGAGATAATTTAATAGTAAACAAACTCAAATATAGGCCGATTAAGAGAAGGTGTTGTTAGTGGGTTTGTCTAAAAAGGCCTTGGTTGCATCTTTAAAAGCATTAAAGAAGCAGTCTTGTGCTGATCCCTCTCAGTATTGTAGTATTGTGGGTGCTCTTAAGTATCTTACTTTGTACTCGATATGACATCACTTATGTTGTACAACAACTTAGTCAATTTATGCATGTTACTCACTTGCAAGCAGTCAAACAAATTTTACTGTGTCTACAAGGAACCATCAACTATAGATCAATTCGTTTCTTCCTTGTTCTTCTCCAAGCTTGGTATGTTGTGTTGATGCTGGTTGGGCTAGATGTTCTGATACTAGACTTCCACAACAAATTATTGCATTTTCTTAGGATCTAATCCTATTTGTTGGAGCACTAAGAAGCAAATTTCGATTACTCATATGGCTACTCGAGACATACTTTAGATTTCATACATTTCTGCATGAAATTGGCTTTCCATTAACTTACCTTGTTCTTTATAGTTAGATAATTTGGGAGCTACCCTACTTTTTGCTAATCTCAGGCAAAACACATTGATACTTCTTATCATTTTGTTTGAAATCTTTTTTACAATTACAAGCATTTTCTTCAAATTTCATGTTAGTTCTCCATCACAATTTGTTGATGTCTTCACCAAAAGCGCTTGTCATCGTCAACGTTTCTTATGTTCAAGCACAAGCTTTTGTGGTGTTCTCTCCAATCGCATAAGGTGGTGTAATAGAGTAAAATGTTAATTTGGGAATTAATCCAATCAAAGGTGGAATTAGTCAACTTTTGTTGGGAGGTCAAAAACTATAAAAAAAAAATAGATTAAAAATTTTTAAAACTAATACGTTGAATTTAACCAACAATCAAAATATTCATAATAAACAATAATTTTATATAACATGTAAATCAAAAGGAATAAGAAAATAAAAACTTAGAATAATCCTTTAGTAAAGTTGTGTTGGACAATGTTTCTTCAATTTAAATTCATTCATCATTAACTTAGTACTAAGAATGCTAGTTATATCTTTTTTAATATAAAAAACTAAATTATATGTAAGAAACATATTATTTATTTTGTTCTAAAGTCTTGCTTTCACAATGTTCATTACTGAAAAAGCTTTCTCTATAGTTGCTATAAAAACTGAAAGGGTTAAAATAAGATGAATTAATATATCAATTAAATGATAATTTCTTAACTTTCTTATTTCTACTAAGTTTTGATACAATTCAAAAAGTGTCTTAATATCTTCAAAATCTTGGTGATGAGGTACATCAAGCCTGCAATGCTTCAATTGTAACCTCAAAAGAAGTCTTCTTTATTATGTGAAATCTTGAGAATAAAAACTTTTTGTTAACTTGTAATTATCATAAATAGTGAATAATTTGTAATTGTTATTAGAATCAAAAGCAATGTTTAAAGTTAAAAGTTTCACACTTTATTTATTAAATCTCAAGTTTCATAAAAGAAAAAAAAAACTTTATCTCATATTTATTTCACACTATGGTGGTGAGTGATTTTCATCTTTTCTTATCTATACTAATAAGCTTATAAATCTCGTTTGAATAATGAAATATGTTTCAATGGTGAGTTACAGGGAAAAGAGTGAAGTAAAAATGAAAGGACAAAAGAGAAGAGAAACAGGAAAAAACAAAAGAGAGAAAAAGATGTAGAGAAACTTATTTCGAGAGATCATTTTGTTATTTTTTATTTATATTAATTATTAAAATAAAAATTTATTTTGAAAGGACCATTAAATATATATATAATATATAAAAAATTTTAAACCCCACAATTATACTACCATCCGCCGCTAAGTCTAATTTACTTCACATGTGTATAGACAAATGTACACATTCCATAGGTGATATAAACATATGTACTAACCTAACTCTATAGGAGCAAAGGCAACCTCCGTATTCCTAAATTTCAAAATTTAATCCTTCTATTATCTCAATTTGGTAATTTTAATTCCTTTACTTTAATAAATTTATAATCCTTCTACTTCTATTAAGAAATTGATTTAAGGGCGACTAATAACGATGTTAAGAATTCAGCATTAATCTTGTTTCAAATTCATTTTTTTAACTTTTTAACCATTCCAAATTAAATACATTATATTGGTAACATTGTATGGGAATTGCCTTTCTAACAAAAACATTGTATGGGAATCTTAAAATTTCTAATTAATTTAAAAATTGATATGCATGATCTATTTGTATTAAGTATGAAATTAACAGTTAAATAAACAAAATATAAATTGTAAAACAATATATTTATAAAAGTAAAAGCTGGTGTAAATACATCTTTTGTCATAAATATATAAATATATGTGTAGATATATTTATAAATTAAAAAAAGACAGAGACAAGCTTACGCAAAAATACAATATTAATTAATTCACTATTCTCTTTATATTGAAAAAATAAAAACGGAAGTAAAATAATATGCTTACTCTTACCCAATTTACTTTCACGTTTTTAACCTTTCATAATAATTTTGAATATTTACTTGAATTAAAATTTCAATATTAAAAAACATTATATAAACTATTTTTTTATTAATTTCGAATAGCTAGAGTCAACAGTCATTTTAAGATAGGGAAAGTAAATAAAAGACCTTTCAATTGAATTAAAACGTAAAAACTAAAAGAAAAAATAAAATCACATGAACATTTGACTTAATAATAAATACATATTTTATTTTTTATTTTTTTAAATAACCCAAAATCATGTCTCTTTTCTTTTTGTTAATATTGAATACTCTTATTATTACTTTTTTTTTTAAAAAGTACTCTTATTATTACTTATCTTTCAAAATCAATTTGAATTTTTTTTTTACTTTCTGATATTAAAAAATTATGGAGCATTAAATTTATAAAAGAATTATAAAATAAAACTACTGCTATAGAATTTTGAGTTGATTTTTTTTGACTAAGTAATATGGTTGGTTCAAAGCCCACTCCACTGTTCCTAGTAACAGGAGTATAGCAGGCAATTATTTTGTCGTCCACAGGCGACTCCTATGAGTGAGTATTATTCTCCTTGGCATCATCCTACCAGGGAACACATCTCTCATTCTCCTGCTCACCACCCAATAAATTAATAAGAAGCATTATTCTTCATTATCTAAGGAAAAAGAGTCACCCTTTCATTCTATACCCACCAAAGATAATTTTATTAAATGGCCATATATTAGGATTGGGTGATTTTAAGTCAAAGATTGAACCGTTTATTCTCTTTATTATTATTATTTTTATTTTTCTATGGTTTTCACCTTCTAGATTAATTAGGTCTAAAAGCATATTTATTCGTACTTAATTTTATATATATTATAAGAAAAAAAAAATTAAAGAAAGATTGACTTTTCTCTATGAGTGAAAAAATTAGTACAATGAAAACCTTACACAATGAATGAGATAAAATATCATAAATCTTATATTAATAAAAAATTATATGAATTTTAAACTTTTAAATAATTAAAGAGTCTTTCTCCACTTATTATAAACTTGACACATGATTGTGGCCCAAGTGTATACTTGATTACAAGATGTCTAATTACAGTCAATAAAAACGACCAATGGTCAACCCAAGAACTCTGCTTTGAATGGTGAGAATTAAATGAAATGAATATGTTTAATAGATATAGTAAAAAGCATACGCATAATTTTGAGGCATCTATTCCACAATCTTTCAAAGGATTAGGGTCGGTTTTAGCATAAAGTCACTAAAGTTCTTGCTTTAAGTCTCACAATTTTATAAGTTTCATAATTTTATATAATATAATTAATTATATTAAATATATAAAAAATTAAAATAATTAATAAAATATTTTTTAAAGTAAATATCTAATAAATATTTATTT